AATTGTAATATTTGTAAGTATATATAAATATATATATAAAAATACTGATCTATTTGTAAAAATGACAGAGGAGAACATTTTAAAATTGGGGGTGGCATGGGTTCACTGTGTAACAGAGAAAGCAAACTTGTCAAAACCATGTAGAGTGGGAAGGAAACCACACGGAAGTGGAATGAAGGTAGTTTGTAATTTGAAGAATTTCTCCATAGAAGAAAAATCCTTAAAAACTCATTACGGTACAAACTGGAGGCATTATTACAGTAATTCCACAAAGGCAAGGAAAGTGCAGGAACCCAGGATCTTGTGCTTTCTGAAAGAACCAAATAAACTTACTAATCTGCTAGCGGTATTTCCTATTTATGTAAGTTGACTAACATTGATAAAAATGATTAGTGTTACCAATATCTCAATTGTTACAATGATGATAAGACATTGAAAGACCTAACCATGATGAATTATACTGGATTTGACTTTATTTCTACCAAAGTCAATGGTAGAAACCTCCACAATTCCAGCATGAAGGATCACAGCCATTTGGAAAGGATGCATAACCTACTGCAAGCAGTATTTCATTGTAGTCACAAGTGGACAAGTTTGAATGGCAAGAATACCATCACTTTGCTTTCTTATGTATGTCTGCACAAAGGCATAAATATTGCTTATTACTCCTCTGAGCTCAAAACTCATTAATGTCAGGAAGAATAAGGCTTGTTGTTATCATGGTTGTCCTTCATTTTCCCTTGCCAAATCCTTAGCAGGCCATAAAAACTTCTAGACACACAAAAAAAGTAGGATTCAAGTAGTCCAATACATTTATTTTGTTAGTCTTTCCGATTAGGGGCTCAAAACAAACTCTGTTAAAACACACTGATGTTTTAACAACTCCAGGTTCCTTCTGGCTTTGGAAAGACAAGAATCTCTCTCCCTCTGTACATTCACATGCTGTAGTAAATTCGTCTGTTTTGTCTTCATGCTAGTATTGGGGAATTAGTTGGCTTGCAGGAAGGACTTGGAACCTGTACTAGTATAGCATCTCTGTTATATAAATAATAACATTTCATCTACCAAAATATAATTTAATGTTGCAAAAATGAGTATCTAAAACCCTAATGGAATTTATAGAAAACAATTTATTAAATAAGAGATAAAAGATAAAGACATTATTTTTGGCCATCTGCTATAGACTTCAGAATATTGTAGAGAAAAATAAAAGATACAAGAATATTAAAAAGCCCACCCTGGATTATTCCTACACACCCTGCAAGCTGTTTTCATCTGCCTATCAATTGTAAAGGAATTGAGGGAAGTTATTACATCAAAAAATACATTCTGAAGCTAGAACTTACCGACCTAGATCTCAATGATTTTTGACAGGCAAAGTTTCTAAACACTACTTTCTATTCCATTCCTTTTCTTCAGATAGCTACCATTTTTCTGTCTTACCTTGATTGCTACTAATGTGCTACTGAGGTGTAACTAGCTTGTTTACAGCTAGCAATTTCCACCAATGTAACAGCCTTACTTTTAATTACCAGTGGGGAAAAAAAGTATCAGATATAGCAGCCTGTGATAAGGTTCTTCCTACCACTTAGTGTGTCTAGCACTGACTATACTTTTTTACCCTGCATTAGATATATTTTTAAATGAAAGAACCATATACTTCCACATATTTCAGAAGAACCTTTTCTCTGTAAATGGGATATCACAGAACAGTTCCCATTTAGTAAAGCAGTCTTAGGTGTTCCTTTTAGATCTTCTATTTGATTACATTTTCTAACAGTTCATCTATGAAATTCCACTTACATGTACTTTTGCTGCAAACAGGTTTAGGAAAAAAAACAAATCTGCATATGAGATGTTTTGAGTTTTTTTTTTAACTTACCTGCAATGAACAGAAATTGGTCCATCCTGACCAAACTGCTCTTTTGTTTTATGCACTTGACCTATGAAGTCAATAAATCCTTCTCCAGACTTTGGCACTCCTTGTTCTGGCCAGTCAGTGAACTGGAACTGCCTCACTGTTCGGGACTGGCCATCCTTTAACAAAAGACACAATTAATGTATCCCAAAAGTATGCTCTAGTGGCTGGAAGTCAGTCAGCCAAAAACCAGAAAGACAATCACAAAACAAGGACAAGAGATGGAGAACAGCTAAGATCACTTTTATGAAGACTCTTTCAATCACAGTTCTGGCTGGTGCTTTTGGACACGTTGGCCCAGTAGTGCTTTTTCATTAACAACATTGCACAGATTCCCTTCTGCACTAGATAGGATGGTTATCTGCTATTCTGCTGGTGTAAAAAGTGTGTCTGAAGCTAAGGACAAAACAATCTCACCAGGTTATAAGATATTTTTTTACAGTTATGTTTTGAATAATGCAGACTGCAAATTCCTTTAAATACAGAACAGGTAGAATAAGGTCATTCAGTTTGACTCTCCATTTCCTCATTTACTGCATGTCAGGAATATATTCAATTATAAGATTCATTTAGTTATTGCCCTCTTTGCAGATGAGATCTTTAATGGTATGGTGCTCTCTGTGAGGTGAACATTCGCCTAGAGGAAGATGGGTCAAGCCAGCTGATAAACAAACCATAAACTTCCCTTCAATCATTATAACTTCATTTGCTAATAGCCTGGACTCAGTCAAAAACCAGGAAGAAGTGCCTCCTCTCTCAGAAGAAGTCAGCTGAAGCTGCTCATTCTCTTTGGTTGGGAATGCTGACAGGACTGTTAAAACTGCAGAATACTGTAGAATGGTTATTTCTATAATGAAGCCACTGGAAGTATTATGTGCCAAATTCTGCTGTGTGCCTATTAATGTGTAAATGGTCAGGATCCGTAAACAGAAAAAATACAATGCAAATGGATGAAGTAAACTTGTTTTGAATTTTCAAACACTATTTTTGACGATTTTGACATTGTCAATCTGCACAGCTGCAATATTTCAAAGCATGGGCACATGAGCTACTGATGTGAACTAGTGCCTCTGGACACGTTTCTAAAGTACACACCCTGTCATGTCTTCAAAACAGTCTTCAACTAAGTGAAACTCATGAAAAATTGAAATTATTATAGGAGATTCCCCCAAAAAGCAATAAGTTATGCTGGTGGAAAGAACAAGCTTTTTTTTTTTTTTTTTCCCTCTACCACAAGCACTCAGCTATTACAGATTTTTGAAATTAAGAAGAGATTTTATAAACAAACAATGGAAAACCCAATACTTTCCTTTTATGTTTCCTCCAGTACTGTGTGTTTTTGCCTTCTGTGTCTCAGTTGAGTAAAGGAAAGAGAAAATGGCGATGTGTGCCAGATACTGCTCCATGAGAGGACACACATATATTTCTTTGAATTACTATGTTTTATATTCCCATTAGACCACTGTGACAATTTAGTAGACTATTTCTGAGAAACTATTTTGCCATTAAAAAAAAATCTGTTCAAAAAACGTTTTCCAAATTTTATTTCTTGTGTGCATCAACACAATGCATTAAGTATTTCACACCTAAATGGTATTTTGTTAATGCAGACTTGCCTTGTATAGGTCTCTGTGATCCCATTTTCACCCAAGAAGACATAATGAAATTGCACCCTTCAGATAGCCTTAGGCAGATGACATAAATTAATCAAGAAGATAAAACACTAGGCTGATTTCCTTCAAAATAACCTCTGATTCTTCTAAAGTAAAGAAAAAAACCTTGAATCTGACTCACTTGCAACATGCTGGTTGAGGAGATGGAAACACTTCAGGAATTTCTGACCCTGACAGGAATTACACTACAGCAACAGCATCTTTATAGAAGTAGAAAAGAAAGATGCTTCTTTACTTAAGTCTAGGCTGTAATTGGAACCACCACAACTTTCTATATGCAAAATAGATTTGATGGTAAATATTTGTTTTTCTAGTGTGTCTAAATTAACTGTATTGGTATATTTCATGATTGTAATAACTCAATAATCTGATGCATGTCTGTGAAGACTCTTCTGATTGAGTTTTAATGGCAATAACTTCTGTTATTTAATGCTATTTAATGAGCACAGAAATAAAGTTAGTTATTCTGATGCTGGACTAGCACTAAACCATATTGGGAACGGATCTGCAATTTCTTATGGTTCCCTCTGCTACTGACATAAAGAGTGCTGCTTTCTTTTAATGAGATGCTTTGCCAATAGCAGTCCAACTACAAATGCCAAATTTTATTAAAATCTTTACTTTCAAATATTGTGAGAGTTTGCACAGTTAGTTATCAAAATATGAACGTTCAGATCCCTATGTGAAGCAGATGGCTTTTAATGTATCATCCTGATGAGTTCCTTACCATTTGGATTTCTTCTTGCTCCTCACAGGGGATATTCAATTGTCTTTTGATGAGGTTGTAGCATTTATAATACTCTCTTACAGCCATCACTAATAGTTTAGCCTTAAATGAGACTGCCCCAACATACTGACCTCTGGAGTTTTTAGAGAAATGGAGTATAAAGCAGTCAGAAACAGTAGACTGAAAGAGTTACAGAGGTCAATTTCACCTTACAACAATTCACAACTCAAGTTTCAGAAATAACAGGGAGTTCCACACCAGACACCTACAAACACAGTGTGCTGCTTTTCCTGTCTCTGGGGAATAATTGGCTGGCATGGCTTTGCCAGAATATGGCTGGTACTCTAACATTATGTATGGGTTTGGAGATAAGAGGGATTATCTTTGTTATTTAGTGATCTGAGCTTAGTGAACTATGTCGCATAAGACCTCTTCCAGCTTGAGATGGAACAGATTTTTAATAGATGATCTATGAAAATTAACAGCACAGTTGTAGTGTAATTGGCTTTGACCATCTATGCGTACAAGTGTGGTTAAAGACTGATGTTAAAAGCCTGCTCTACTCTACTTCTATTAAGTACAACTAGGTTAGAGAAGTCATGAGTCATGTGATCCTTACTAGATTTAAAACAGAATGAAATGATCCAGTGTGCCTACAGGTTCTTTGCAAAAACACATACCTAAGTCTCATTTGACAAATTAAAATATTAATATGCTGACTTAGTGACAATATTTTCTAGCTAATTGTCAGTAGGATCCGATTTTACTTGAAGCAAACATTAAAAGCAGCAGTCTAACTACCTATGAGAAAGTCAAGTATTTGGGATGCTGACTGGAAACTCAGAGTAATCATTCATATTATTCCCAATATTTTGCTTGAACAAACAGTGTTCTACAGCACTTGGAAATGGAAGCTGTCAGTAATTTTTTCTGCCATGCAGATTAAAGTGCTAAAAATTATAAGTCTGAGAAATGCCAAATATATATTTAAAGTTTATGTACATTTAATCTCGTATCAGTGCTCATTTCTGGACTCAGGAATTCAGATAAGAAATGCAGTATGAAAATGAGGAAGTTAGGGTCACAGCTGCATGTATATACTCTGGAGATATACAAGAGTGCTGAAAATATGTTATGCCAAAAATCAAATAATGTGCAAACCTTGTCAAGCTTTTCTTACAGATGCTATTTGCTCTGGAGTTTTAAATCTCAATGTATTAACCTTCATACTCACTCAGCCTAGAAGGTGGTGCAAAACAACATATTTACTGCTGTAAGTGACTGTAACTGACCCAAAAATCATCAAGGGGGAAATGAGGAAAATCAGGGAAAACAGTCCTCAAATCATTGAATGTATTTTGGCATAAATAGTTACTTAGGACTTTATGAAGTTGTGCTGCCCAGATATTAGATCTGAATAAAGTCAGCTGTTCTTACACAAAGATCCCATTCATTTAATAATTCTACCTGTCTACGGTTTATTCCCTGTAGAAAGTACACCATTATGTTTTTTCCAATAACAATAATAAAAGTCTAAAACAATTTAAAAATAATGGCGAAAAAAAGAAATTGATATTTTCTTTTAAACTTACATGAACTGGTATAATGCTTTGTTAACTTACCCTTGCATCTGTAACTTTGAATTCCCTCAGAATATACTGTGGCATGTTGTATTCTGCCATTGGATCTACCACAAAATACTGGTATCTGGCTGAGCGCTCTGCAGGCCAATACTGGTGGCATTTTTCCTACAAAATAATGAAGTAAAACATATTTCCTGTTACTTGAGACCACTACCATAAACTGGTACAAAATGTTTTTTCATTTAGATAAGCGTAATACTTGTGGGAAGTGCCATTAATGACAGGAAGATGAATTGTTTGTCTTGCTGTGAGCACAAAGTTCCACATTTAGAATAAAAAATGATCTTCAATATTGCATTGCAAAAGGGTTCTCTCTGGTCACTGTACACCTGAACTTGTTTATACTTCTGCTCAGTTCTATTACTTACCAGTGACAAGAGCTATACTTAGCCTAATTTTCAATATAGAAGAGAATTTAAATCTTGAGGCCACCTTTAGTTTTTTCCCTTCTTTCTTTCCTTCTTTCTTTCCTTCTTTCCTTCTCCTTCTTTCTTTCCTTCTTCCCTTCCTTCTTTCCCTCTTCCCTTCCTTTCTTCCTTCTTGCCTTAAGTCAAGACTCTATCTCTGCATCCAGTAGCCATGTCCTGAATCATGTCTATTCCCCAGACACATGGCTTGACTCAGATTTCACTTATCACATACCAGCTTTATCTTGATGTAATCCTGTCCAAGCAAACTGCTTCATTCTTTCCATTACACAAAGCATGGATGCTGAAACTTTGAAGTTTAGCACTATGAACACGCAGAAGACATTCAGATCTCAAAAATACCACACTTCCTTTTAAAATTGTTACAAACAGACACTGTGAAAGTGAAGTTTCCAAATAAGAAATCTTCATTTTTCAATAGACAGCAATGGTCTCTCTCCATACTTTGAAATATCAACATGCAAACTCGATTGCTGAATCTCAGTGTGTCCCACAACAAAATTCCAATGTCATGCTTGTCTATTGCAACACTTCTCCAAACTGGAAAACATTATACCTGGTGGTCAATGCAGTCACCACTATTTCAGAAGGAGAAGAAACTTAAATACTCATCTTTATCTTTAGATATTCCCATAACACCAAAGAATTTTTATAAAAAACATTATAACAAACATTTTAGTAAAGGAATATTACAGCAGAACTTACTCTGCCCATTTCTCGTAGTTTAGTAAGCATGACCACAATTGTAGAATTATGCTCCCAGAGCATTCTCCAGAAGTCTTCAGTTGTTTCTGCTAAAGGACCCTGTGTAGCAATGTAAGCTTTCTGTTGTCTATGTTGAAAAAAAGAGTAAATTAAGGAAAATATTTTAATCAAAAAGTGAATTGATACACATGTTCTCTGTTTATATGCAAACATTATCTAGAGGAAAAATTTACACACTATTAACAATAAGCACATTAAAACCTTATTATGATTGTTTAATCAATCTACAGCTTTTTATTTTTAGACCTTTGAGAGGGAAATTACTCTGTTAATATTATGATGTATGCCTTTATCATTATTATTTACATTTTAATGCAACTCTAATAGCCTATTTTTGTGTGTCGTAAAAAGGACTTAAGAAACAGTTAGTTGTGCTGGTTCATTTTGTAAAAATAACTGTCTAACAATCTATTAAGTTTAGGAATTATAGCATCATGCAGTTTCTTTAATAACTCCTTTTCAACAGTATGATGTCTCCAGCAAGGAAGGAAGAAAATTCAGGAATGGAGTGCACTGCATTTCCAGACCTTAATATCCTAGTAGTGGAAGCTACCACCAAGCTGTTAAAAGCTTCTGGGTCAGCAGCTTTATAAGATGATGACCAGTTCAAGTTGCTCTTGTTTCTCTCAATCAACAGAAGCAGCTTTGTGGGTGACAGTGGAGATTAAGGTTGCTTCCAATTATGAGCAGAGGCTCAGCAAATTATCTCTGTGGGTACAGACATTCAGGTATATCTAAACTGCCTCAGAGAAACTATACTACTTCTTCATGCCTTTTGCTACCACCTGCTTAAGTCAGCTGAGGACGTACTGCCCTGTGCTGTCATCAAGATGCTGGTGGGCTACACAACTGTTTATGTATAAAATGCTTCTGGTGGCTAGATCTAGTCTTTACCAGTGTTTCAACATTGTAAATTATCACCTTGACACAGTGACTGTATCTCATGTATGTGATTTCTATGTATCTTTTTAAGCAGAATAGTTGTGAAGAAATAGATGTTCCAAATCATGAATATGCTTAAAATCTCAGTAACTTTCAGCATGTAAAACATAATTGGAGTTATCAATGGTTTAAAGATAGGTAAAAAGATAACGTTTAAGACTCTATGTCATTTACAGAATTTTCCTGTATTGCATGGATGAAAATCTAAACCTTTTATTAATATCTAAAAAAGCATCAAATCATACATGACATGCACAGTTAATAAACACTACTACATTTCAATAATAAAATCTGCAATTTTCCATATAATTACAGAAATAATTTTTTAAACTTTTAAAACAGTCTACATGAGAACACATCAACATTAGTACCTGTATCCATCAATGAAACTGGCATTAATATAATCAGAGCCTTCTACTCCTCGGATTGGCTGCAAGCATACCCTCGTAGACTCATATGGCATAATATTGACAAGGCGATTCTTGAATTTATTACATGGAAGATTGGCACTAATGAATCTTGAAGTGTGAGCCTTAGAGCTAGCAAGACGCTGTTGAAAATAAATTGAAAGAATTAAGGACAGGTATAACAAAAACAAATTACACTATCAGATTTGATGATCTCTTCTCATTAGCCAGTAATGAATAATTTCAATTTTAGATGCTTACTTTTCTATATTCTATTGCATTACCTAAATATTTGTAAAGCTTCTTTTAATACCTTGTAGAAGTTTAATGTTAACTCCAATTTGAGTATTAAACTGTTGTACAAACACACATTTCAAGCTATTGAAACAATAAAGGAACAGCAGAGTTAAACCACCCTTTCTGGACTGTTCTTGTCTGGACACCAATTGAGGATAGAATTGTACATTTACAAAGGATAATCTTCCAAATTTTAAATTTTTAGCCTGTCAATGTCTTACCTTTTGATAACTAGAAACAACTGGTTGAGGACAGAGCAGCATTAAGTATTACAACATCTGTTTTTGGTTCCCCACAACATAAAATCCCAGTACCTTAAATTCCAGTTCCATTCCTGTGACATTCTCGCCAGTTTCTAGCTGTGTCAGCTTCTGAATATATGCATACAGGTTTCTGGCTGGCACTTCGGTATTTCCACATGTCACTGCTTCCAGCAGTGCATCATGGATAAAGATGTATTGGTCCTCAGTTTGAACCATGTAATTCCTCTGCGCTCTCATTAGAGTTACGTGGCCATAAATATCTACAGTCTTTTCATGCTTTATTCTCTCTAACATGGCATCTATCACAATGAAACAGCCAGTCCTGCCGACTCCAGCACTAAAAGAAATGAACACAGGAGGGAAAACATGAAAGACTACTTCATGTATTGTGCTTACTTTTATGGCATTCAAGTTTTGCAGTTCTGTAACACTGATTTGAACAGCACATTTCTCTGAATATGAACATCAGCTTTTATGAAAGAGGTTGGTGCCCTGAATTAAGTAAACTTCTTTAACACCCATTAGAAGCAATGGAAAACATGGAATGCTTTTATATGAGATCTTTGCATCTTGCAGTTTCAGGGTTGACTATAAAAGAAATAAAATACAGTGCAACATGTTCTAGAAATATATGTTTTTAAAAATGGAAATTAGTGGAGATTATGAATCCTCTAATGATTCAAGCTTTATTTGTAGCATTATTTCTAACTCATTAAACATGCTGTTGTTGCTATTCTGTTTACAAAGGTGAATTTATTGGCAAATAATAATGTAACAAAAAATGAATCACGTATTTCTAGCATGCTTTGGAGGTAAACTTCCTGTCTCACTCCCAACTCTGTCAGTGGGCCTCATATTAACACAGTTTGTTCTGTCTCCTGCTCTTTCACTTAGCAAGGCCATACTGTTATTGTTTGCAATGCAGAGACATGTCTCATTAGCTGTGCTAGCTGTATGCTGGGGAAATCTCCTGTTGGCCACTTCATTGTCTATCTTGCATCTCTAGGAAAATGTAACAAAGATTTGGGATGACCAGGATGTTCAGTTGTCACATTATTTCAAAAGACAGATTATAAAAGGACTAAAATATGCTTAAAGACAAAGCTTGAAATCACACCACTGAATTAATGTCCGGACTGGGTGAGTAAAATTTTTCACACAGAGGCAAAGTTAGTGTTTCCTCAAAGGTTCTGAGTTAAGTCAGTAGCTGTTTTTAGGCAGGAGCTGCAGTGAAGTCACATCAATCCTGTTGAGGTCAACGAAACTACTACTCCTTAGTTCTCTGCACAGGAAGGGATTCCTCAGAACAACTCTGAGCTAGAAAGTTGCTTTCCTTTCTTTGGTGGGACTTGAGGGTAGAAGAAGACATGGATCAGCTACTGTGAGCATGGCACAGGAACAAACCCTGATGATAAAATATTCAGTTGGATTTAGGAGAATTAAACCTGTCTCAGTAATAGACCTACTTAACAGCAGTTTATTTTTTATGATACTTGCTGTCAAAATGTGCCAGACTTTCAAAGATTTTCAGTCATTTTCTCCCTGTCTTAAAGATGCTGTCAGTTACATGCATGGGCTGCCCTTAATAACTCCTGAGGACAAAGTTATGCAATCAGGAGAGGAAAAAGAGACTTACAGTTCTCACCTTGATATGATTATCATCTCTATGATACTTTATTATACATTTGGCATTACTGAACAGGAATGATGTAGAAGGAATACGAAAAAGATAACAGAATATGCAAGACCAGAAAATATACTGAAGGTCTGAATATGCAACTTATGTACTAAATGGAGACATATTTCCTAAAATCTCTATGGGAAGTCTTTTATGGAGATATCTGGACATCAACTGTACTGAGTCAAATCTTCAGATGGATGATTGTCTTTTTTGCAGCCATGTCTATGACTAATATTCATGGAGCTTTTCTTCAACTACTTGCATACATGCGGCTATATAAAGCTAAAGTGTTTATAATGTTTTTTGTGTATCATTTTTATATCCAGGATCATATAACGTTTGTGACAATGAATGGCATTTTATGGCCTTCTAAATGCTTAACTGCTTTCAGTTTGTGATATGAAACACAGTATGTAGTATAGTAAACAACAGTTTACACACCCTCAAGACATTGACATTATCTAAGTTAAGGATATTTAAAAACACTACAAACTGCCATTGTTTTGAAAAGAGATAGAAAGAAATACAGACAATTACAACCCAGCTTCTAGAGGACAATTATATAAAAATCAAGGTTCTATATTTTCATGAGAAATTAAATATCATAAGTCCATCCTGAAACTGATAAAGGGTAGACCTTTATCTCTTGCATGACGCTTTAAGAATCTTTGCCAGTGTCCTGGTTTGAGCTAAATAGAACTAATTTTCTATTAAGTGATTTCACTTTTCAGCTCAGTCTCTTTTAAGTGACTGAGCTTGCTGAAAACTGGCAGCATGTTTTCCCAAACAGCGCTGCTAGAAGATACGCTCAAGGTCAGTTGTCTCATCCCGGGTGCTGTGTCTGCGCCTACAGGGGGAGAAGCGGACCCAAAACTGGTCCAACTGGACCAACGAGGTATTCCATCCCACATACATCATACTGGGTATAAAGCCGAGGGATCACGAGTGTCTCGCGCCTTTTTGCCTGCCTTTGCCCTTTTTCCAC